TACAGGGCGATCGATCAAGCAGTTCATTCGAGTAAAATCGGTTTTGGATTGATTTTACCTAGGTTTATTTTTTGTAAATGGATGTATGCGTCTGTACTTTTTCTAGCAGATATTGCAAAATTTCTAAATTTTCAAAATCGGGTGAATGAGAACTTGATGTCAAGTTGGAAATGTAGTTTGAGTTTGTACCTTAAAGTTGATTTTAAGTAGTTCAAGGGTAATGACAACCGAAACTTACCAAAAAAAGGAAAATAACTTTTCCCTCTAGTTTTTCTTATATATATATACAAAAAAAATAAATCTACTGTGAAATCGAAGCTGGGAAAGCAAAGCAACCGAATCTCACGCAAGACAAGGTCTCCCTGTACGAAGAAAGGCATCGAAAACATTTTCCCACAAATATGTGAATCAGGAATCGTTCATAGCCGTAGATTCTTCAAGCAACAAAGAAGGCGGAGATTGAAAATTGGGGAAAATTTGTTTCTTCTAATAACACAATTCCAACAATTAAAATAGCCCAGCAAAATTTACTTGTCTATGCTTAAAACTTGCTACAAGCCTGCTGCATGCCTGCATCAGTACAGCACAACTCAAGCCAGTAGTAGTAGCTCATGCCAGTGACCAACCAACAGGTATCGAATATTCAGACCTTCATTGGGGAAAGAAAAAAGCAGACGTACCAATCACAAGAATAACAACTGAACAAAGGCATAGCAAGTAACGGAAATATAAAAATAAAAAAAATAAGAAATTAGGAACCACGAATGAGCTTAGTATCTGCAGTTGACATAATAAAAACCTTGATGTTTCTCATTTATGAAGTGAAACATTTCTCTACTTGAAACAGTGCACAATAACTATAAGTAACAAAAACTTCCCATATCATGGAATGATAAAAGGCTTAATCATCGGCTGGTGGAGGATTGTTATCTGACTTTTTCTGTCCCTTTCCTTCATTCCATCTCATCCATGCCCACCTCAAAACGTAAAACCCCCCTATAGCGTATACCTGTGTCCGGACAAAAAATACAAGTGAGGGAATAAAAAGGAGCAGAGTAAATCACCCCTATTGCATGCATGCTAGCAAACTCTCAAAGTTCTCATCTTTCATATTTCTCCAAAATATCAACTGTGCAACTCTCAGAATCAGTTTTGGGCTTCTCAGTTTTCTTAAATCTGTGAAAAGAATGTTGGCAGAGTCAAATAACAAATTGCCCACCAAAGAATATCCGCTGGAGTCTAATAACAAATTATTAAGTAAAACCTGCCGGTTGGCTCATTAAAGACGTTACCTCATATTATGCATTAATCCATGATTGATGTGAAAAGAATACCTGATAATTCCCTCACTCTTCTTTGGCAATTCATTCTCATAATTTTCTTATAGCTTTACATGTTATAACTTTTTCTTCAGATCAGAGGCACTTATATTCTTTACAAATGTTTTTTTAATATAAAAAAAGTTAACATGGCAATTACAAAAGTAAATTGGACTAGACCACTAATGATATTGCAAGTCATTTTTGTGCAGTGGCTCTATATGTGGGTGGCATTCTATGCTTTTCGTGCTTTAACTTCGACAACTCACCCTGCACGAAAATGGACAAGGCTTGGAGCCACACGAAAAAGTAAGTGCTGCTTAACTCACAATGAACCCTTTTTTTTGTTTCAAATATAATAAACTAGCAAATCCACAAATACCAATGAAATCAATCACAAACTAAATCCACTCAAGAGTCCATGTGAGACTTCTTTTGACTTCTGCTCAGAATGTAACTCATTCCATATCAAAAAGGGTAATGCAAGAAAGGATTTTCATATGACTAAAGCACCACAGAATGAAATCGACTATTGTAAATCGAACTAATGTTTATCTAAACACAGTTGGTGTACAAAAGCAGTAACACACCATCACATGATTAACAAATCACCAATTACAACTGTTGTACACAAAGTCGTGACATAATAAAGCACACGGTACCAAACAGGACTGGACACACAAAACATTAAATTGAGTTAAAACTACACTTGATTCTGTATTCTAATGAAATTAGATGAGGCGAAAGCACAAACTCAAGCACAATTATGCAGCAGCAACAAAAATTAAAAAAAAAAATACTAAAAATAATTTGAATACCTGCCAAAGAAATAGGGGATTAGTACTCTGGTCGGATACCTCAGTCTCGACCTCCAGCTTCACATGAGTAAACCTTCTGGGGAAAGTGACAGTAGCGGGCATATCTCTCTCGTTTTCCACCTCGGCCATGGTCGGCCCCTCGGTTTGAGAAGAAGCGGCGCCTTGCTCCAAGGAGGCGCCGCCGCTGCCACCATTATTTTTCTTCAGAGGGAAGGGAAGTTTAAGGTTCGAGAGAAGGAGCAATATGGGGTTCTTCTCCTGCTCTTCAATATGCACAGCGTTTTTAGCCTCTTCCATTGTTGCTCTCTAATTTGCTTTTTCCCGGTGGCTCTGTGAATTTGTTCGTAGATTGTGTTTTGGCGTTTTGGTTGGGCAACAAAGGGCGTGATTATTGAACATGAGTTTTGATCCAACTCAAACTCAATTTTCCTATATTTTTTTTTTTTTTTTTTTTTT